ATGGGGGGGGGAGAGGAAATGAAATATTGAAAAATATTGAAAAACAGAAGATTGATTCCTCCAAAAACTCATCCAGATGTAGCACTGGATCTAAGAGAGAAGCGTCACCTCCCTGACAGCAGTTACTCTCTCTCTAAACTGGGAAAAGAATCAGGTTATTTGCAAAGATTTGCTAAGACTTCTAAGTTTAATTGCAAGAAGCATAAAGTCAAAATCTGCTCTTCTATGCCCATGAGAAAGCAATTTGTTTGTCCCTCTCGTTAGATAAAGACACGGAGGGTGAAGACGATGGGAAGCACAATCACAAGTCAACTGATCTGTCATTTCATGAGCCTTCTCCCCGCGTCGCTTGCCAACTGCAAACATGGAAGGGGCTCGCTTTAATTAATATCGGGTCTCAGCAGACCACTGGAGGCAGTGGCACTTGTTTTCAGGTCATCTGGTCCTAATGGGCTCACACTGGGAGGTGATTTGTTGCTAACTGACAGCAGAGATCAGTTAATGAGGGCTGAGGCCTTACAATCCAACGTAATGAACCTCAGGGCTGTTCCTATATTATTTGTCATCATCATTTAAAAAAAAGAAAAAACCACAAACAACTGCTCGAGGAGATGCTGGTTGTTAATCCAGATATTTACAATATAAAAATCACTCCCTGCCCTGCAGGATTTTCTCTAGGCTGCTGTACATCAGGAATTGAGCACGCAATAAGCGGTGCTACGGATCGGGACACAAGCTATTCTGTGGTAACACACACATCGGTAGGGTCCCCAACAGCTCATCTACACGGGGACATTGGTGCACAGCGACCTCATCGCGTTTTTGCACACCCGATGTGCCACAGCATGCTCCGCTTTGGAAGCAGACCTCCTTCCAACATCAGGAAGGAGACAGTATGCATGAAGGCTGCTGCCCTCCCCGCTCCCCCAACCACATCGATGGATCTAAGGGAAAGCTCCTGCCTCCTCGTAACCATATTCTGGCCCTCGGAGCACCAGAGCTACAAAACCACTGCTATTGCAGAGCTCATGGCACTCTGCACATGCTGAGGGCATCCCAGTGGAAGCCCAGTCTGGTGGAGTCACCGTGGCACACAAGAAGGCAGCAACACCCTCTCGGCATCCACACCACTGAAGGAAGATTTCCTCTTGCACAAGCTTGAAATGCTGTAAGTACAGAATACCGTGGCATCATCTTCCCTCACGGTGCTTTTAAAACTGTCCCCGTGATGGATAGCCGAGGTGTGCAAGACAACCAGGCACTGGGGCTCGTGCTGGAGATGCACCTACAAGTTATGTGGACAGATAAATCTCAGCATCGTCTCAGCTCTTCTGCATTGGTTCAAAGCTTGTCGCTCTGTACAGACCACCAGCTCCTTCACCACCGGGGAGTAAATGGTACAACTAACGGAGGCATAGACCACCGCAGGACGAAGAGCTGATCTACCACCAGCAGTCTGATGAGCCACCCCCATGTCACCAGCGGTGACAGCCACCTGGTTTACTGCTGGTTTCACTGGTGGTTTACTCCTATTTCTTTTATCTACAAATCCCAGTGTAGTTTTTCACACTGCTCAGAGAAGAGTGTTTCTCACAGCACCACTGATGATCCCTTCTGCACTCTAGACCTATTGTTCTGCTTAAGCTCCTTTGCAGTCAGCCTAGGAGCTACCAGAGAGTTTAAAGACCTGCATCAGTTGTCCCAAGATGGACATCTTCGCTCGCCACCCCAGCAGTTTCCTTACCAAAGCCTGTCAGCTTCTCAGGGTAGCAAAACTGCAAACATCACTTCTCCGTGTCTCCTGGCCTTTATCTGCCCCTGTTGCCAAAATGGAGAGGAGCATTAACGCCAACAAGGTGGAACCAGTCATCATCCCTCTGCTGTAGCCACGCTGGGGGTTGGAAGGCAGATTGTGAGTGGCAGCAGTACATCAAGCTGGAGAGCTTTGCTTTGCTAATTCACAAGGTGGAAAAAATTCTGAACTAAGGACCAGTGAGGACAGTCACGCTCTCCATGCTACACCAGGAAACAGTGGGCAGACAACGGCTGCTAATGGAAGCACTGAGGTTGGTGGGATGGGGACTCAAGACTGTACTTCCGCTGCAAAAGCGTGGAGCTGGTGTGGACCCATCTTCATGGGGTTATGAAGTGTGGGAGCTCACACCAACGCAAGGCTGGTTAATTCTGCAGTGAGGGGATAACACAGAGCAGCAGTGCGGCAACCAGCGAGTAAGCCAAGCCAGCACTATGGAAAACTATCAAGCAGAAGCATATCCAATAAAACGCACAGCTTCCACTCAAAACTGCAAGGCACTTCACCAACTCTACACCCTTTGCTATCGCTGGTGCAAAGCGGTCTGGCAGCTGCAGAACACAGAGATACGCCTTCTGCAGGATTTCTGCTGCCCACTGTGGACATGATGTGCCAAACCGCTCACTGCCAGCTCCCAACCAGGAGCTCCTACCTCCATAGTTCTCCTAACGATCCACAGCCTGCTCTAGACAAACGTTTTACCTTGTAAAGACATCTAATCAAGCCCATGCAGCTTTTTCCCTGAAGGTGAATTGGGCAACCTGGGTACAAATGGCATGGTGAGCAGGGTGAGTGTTGACCTCTTCCCATGGCACAGTCTGTTTGCAGAAAAAATGCCTGGAAAAGGATGCCTGTGGCTTGAGAAAAGGGAAAAAAGTCTTGGCCAGAGGAAAAAAAAAAGACAAACTGTCATGGCACCTTTAATGTTCCAGCAGAATATGTACAACCATACATTTCAGAGGCTTATTTGAAAACCCAACATAAGAAATAACTTCCATAAGTTGCTCCTGAAAAATGTACCTGCTTCCTTGGGAACTAGCTGACCCTGCTAAAGATATCAACTTGTGCTTCTGGGGAATCCAAGTATTTAAAAGCCTGATGACTGCACCACAAGACCACAACTTCAGCAACTTTAAAAGCTCCTCTGTTACAGATTACTTCAGAGAGTACTTCAACACCATTTCCAGCTTGAACGCTGCCCACAGGTGAAAGACGTCATTCTGAGTGCTGCGGTTCTTTCAATTCAAGGAGCTGACGCTCCAAGGGAGTATCTCCAAAAGCCTCACTCTATTCAGCATGTCAGCTGTCACACCATCACCCTGCAGCCTCAAAGTCACTCTTTTAACTTAGACTAGGCTAATGCACCACCAGTTAATGCACGTGTGGATAATTTGAGTTCACCCAGCAGCAAAGCCACGGTGCAGAGACCCAGGCAGTGCACGGTGCAGGATCTACTGGAAGCCATCAGTGGTAGAAGTCTCTTTCTGTTGAACAATTTGGGCATGCACGGACAGAGACACCTCATGGTTAAAATATTTTCTGGTTATGTAGACTGAATTCTGTCAATTAAAAGATAAACACGCTTGGCAATCCAAACAAACATCTCAAAAGCACTGCAGTGCTACTGTAAGGGAGCAGTTACTTAGTAGTGAAATATAGATATAAAGTGTTACCCACTGCTATTGAGACAGCACTTATGACAGCTCCCAAGTAGCCCTGGATGAACTTGGATGTCGGAGAAGGCTTTGGAAAGAAAAACAAAACATATTTTCAATAAACAAACTTCTGGTTATTAAAATGCAACCAAGTTTTTTTGTTTGTTTTGTTTTCGTTTTATTTGTTTTAAACCAGAGACAGGTTTAATTTTGTCATATTGTTCTGTGACACATGGTCTGTCATCTAGCAGCGGCAAAAGCAAGGAAAATTGTAGCCTCATGAGCAAGGTTAAAGGGAATAGAAAATTAATTGGCATCATAAAATTATAATAATAGCAGCTTAAAGGAAATATGTGAATGAAAACCAGCAAATGGCACAAAATTAGCATTCTTATACACTAGTGATGAACCCCAAACTCTCCACATTAAATATTTGTCTTTGAAATGTTATCTCGATGAGCTGGATGGTTTCCAACTCAGCTTCCCGTCTAGAGCTTCCCACATCCCAACATGGGATAAATGAAGGTTAAAGTGATGGAAGAGAGCAGAAACAGCCCCACCACTTCCCAGCATTATTGCTGGTAGTGCATATAAAGTCCTTAGGAGACAGCAGTGTGATCATGGAGTCACCTTCTACTATCCAAAAACTCAGATACCATTTTGGTTTGTGCTCATTTACGTATCAAATTAAACCATTTCATACCAGTTAGAACTATATATTGGTTCAGCTCAAAAGCACTGAGCGTTACTTATGTGCCTCAAGTGATTTTGAGATCCTCATGCCATTTGCAGCCGAGGTTTAAAATGGAAGTCTACACAGGAGAATGGCCAATCTATAAATTCATCACAGTGCCAACTCCGGAGTTTCTATTAACAGTGAAGAGACAAGACTTATGTTTCCGTGTCAAAACAGACCTAACGTGCTGCACGCGCTGCATATGTTGGGTCTCCTCACCTTTGTCGCGTTGCGGTTTGCATAGTTGACGCACGCATTGTGGCTCTGATTCAACCACTAAAGAGGAAACAAGAAGAGACAGGCATAAACATAACTTTGAAAAAAAAAAATCTAAAAAATCTATAAACGTGGGAGTGCGGCGCGAAAACTCATCTCCCTTCGGACCTGCTCGCAACTTGCTCCCTCTTTTCGAAGGCTCGTGCATACCCTACGTCTAAGCTAACTCCCTTTGAAGCGAGGGACAGAAATCCCAAGGCACCCAGTGCACGGAGGGCGGCTCTGCTCCCCTGTATGGTTGATGTACAACCGCTCTCCTGGCCCAACCCACCTCAACCTAACACCTCGGTGCTACTAGTCTTTATTTTTGCCAGTACTAAACCCATACTGCTGTTAAGATGTAGCCGTAAGCCCAGCAGCCAGTTTGTCTGGCATTTATTAATCTCTGTGGTTCTCAAACTGGGAGTCATAGGAGGCTTCAGCTGAGGAACAGGAGATGAGCAGATGTAACATCTTAGGGACACGGATGCCACTAAACTGGTATTTCTTTCCACAATGTTTTGGAGCAGGATTTGTCACCAAAACAGTGTGGTAGCAACTGGGGATGAGTAGCACCATGCTCCTAAAGGGTTTTACCCACAGCAGCTGTTGGCAATATAAAGAAAATGATAGTTTCTGTTCCCAAAATACCACGTTCCCAGTTCAGAGCGTGTCAGAACTGGACTCTGCTCCAGCTGTGGCCAGAACTGAGGTGTGGGAGGGAATAACGGGAGGGTGAGGAGAGACAGAGTGAAATGAGGCACTGAAACACGGGGATCAGCCCAGTCACTGCCAAGCCCACCGCCCAAGAGTATGTCTGTCCTGCTGACCAGCTCTCTACCTGGAACTTCAGACCTAGCAAACCCCACTTTTTTGTTTTCTTTAAATAAAAAATAATAATTACAAAGTCATCTTGCCAATATGTGCTGCAAATCTGCCTCAATTTTCCAGATGTGGGGTTTTTTTTAACCCCCACAGCTCACATCTACATTAGCAGGTCCACAGGACCAGGCTAGAGCTAACCTGAAACATGTACATTTTGGGCATCAGCAATATCTACTTGCCGGTACAAGCCTGCTCCTAGAGGACCTAGCGCTTGTAAATGCAGTAATACTCATCGTCCCTAAATCCTATGCTATTTACCTGGATAAATCTCCTTTTCAGAGAGATGTAGACAGACAACTTGTCCTTTATCTAGAGTTTAAGCTGTCTCTAGGTTGAAGACCTCCCCACTACCCGTTTCTTGACTCCATCGTCTTCCCAGGCAGCTGCCTGACACCCTCCTGAGCTTTTTAGGCGATGCCTCTCTAGGTTGCTATTCCTCCTACTTGCATTTTTCAGAAAGGGGTGACCCGTGTGCCCATCCCGTCAGCACGAATGGTGGAGGGAAGAGTTTGAGAACCACTTGTCAAGCGGCGGTGGCCCACGTGGGCTTCGGTTGTTGAACTTGCCTGCTAAAGCCTCCCTCGAGCGGGTTCATTTCAGTTCGGCGTATGAAATATTCTTTCTAGTTTTAAAAGGATTATTTCACCCTTTTAAAGCCGAAAGCTTCTTCCAGCTACAATGTGATGGTGGGAATAGGAGCTCTAGATGACTCCAGCCACTGCCCCTCTCCCAGCATGTAAAGCCACACGACCACAACTTAAGTTAAATACAACCAAACCACAAGTTACTGGCACATACCAATATATTCTCGGTTCTGCAGTCTTTCTAACATACTAGGCAGATCCCATTCTGCTTTGATATTTCTTAACTGCATAATTCTCTATCATCACTTGCACTGTAGACAATAAAAAGGCATTCACAACTAAAAGTAAGTCTGAAAATAACTTGTTCTTTCATTTAAGTTAGTGCTGAAATTATACTTAAGTGGCGTGTTTACTATGGATATAACTCATTCATGTGAACACTTCCTCCCCTTACTCTTAATTCCCAGAATTTTCATGGGAAATAACACCAACACCTCCCTACACACATACTTTTTTCCCCAAAGCTCCTGTAGCACACTGATCACAGAGGTCTCTGCCTTTGCAACGCACAGCTATTCCCGACATTCCTGGGCACGGGGCCTCCCCGTGCCCCCAGCCCTGCGTACATGTTCTACTTCCAACAGGAATTCACCAAGGAAGATCCCAACTACTTGACAGGGTGTCTTCAAAGCAGCAGATGTTTGATCTTAAGGACTTACATTTTCATGGAAGTACACACTGTGCAGTCATTTACCTGTACAAAATGGGTCCAAAAAGCTGATTTTGAGATCACAGGCTATTTCGCATCTCCCTCGCGATGGCATAAATTGCTGGGTGCTGGAAAGCGACCCAGTAGTTCGCTTACAGCCGATTCCTGACCTACCAAACCTTTCCCTGATTATATCCAGCCACATCATCCCCCTAGTAACTAAAGCATTGCCAGTGCAGAAAAGCCATGTGCCTCAGTTTGTCCTCTAGACACAAGTCAACTGTTGCTTTCCCTTCCATCACGTTCTCCACCCATGCAGTACACGGCGGCAGATGAGCGTTACCTGCCAAAACACAGTGGATGCCAGCGTCTGGTTGGGCAAGAGAAGACCAACAACCTGCAAGAGAAGAGATTTTTCTCATTAGCAAGTGCATTGTTGGTTTGATCTCAGTGCTCTTCCAGGCAAGCAGACAGAAAGCTTATTTCTAATGACTTGAATAAATTATCTTTATTTATGGCTTCATTTCATTGTAGTTATGGAACTTCCCTTCAACCTATCATCTCTCCAGTGGTGAAACTGAGTAACGTAGCTGCCCGTGAAAGCTTTGCATCTTTAATTATTGCTTGCAACACACCTCAAAAAGAGTCTGTCAGCAGATACCGTCCAAAGATTAGTTCATTAAAAAATAATCAATACTTTCTGGAGTATAAGCAAACATTGCGTGAATGCAAGAGTTCAAAGTTGTTACTATTGGTAGTGAAGGGGGTTTTCTTATTTTCCTTTGGCTCATTTGCTGTTTCAAGCACAAGAAAGAAGTCAAATTTGAACATCTGAAGACAGGAGTGCCACCTGGAAGCACATGTGCTCCTGCTTGGGAGCCTAAATTTTGTTTTAAGAGAAGAGAATTGTCGATGTGTCATACTGTGAGCTGTGAAAACTCCTGCTTGTGTTATGGGCTCTGGCTGACGACCACTGTCTCCCAGAGGCTTACAGCAGCCTGTCCCAGCACAACTGGCCAGATGCTGCCCGCTGCCGCATGAAAGTGTGATGCCACGGGCTTTGCGAGGTCACCCACCGCAGCACCCGAGGCTGCACACGTGTACGTCGCCTATGCAGTCCTGAGAGCATCCCTGGGACACGTTTCAACATAGCACATCGGCACGCCCTCCACAGGTCTTTAAAGGCCCCGTCTCTCACCCACAAGGCAGCACTGCCAGACTCCTCCCTACCTTGGTTTATGGCAATCTTTCCTCTGAAAGCGTAAGAAGCTGAAGAAGAGGAAAGGGACGCAAAGCAAGGGGACTCTCAGTGATACACCCAACAAACACGGACAGGAATATGAGTTCCTGGGTAAGAAACAGTTAAGATGAGATACTTCCTAACATCATTGCCATCTTCTCCCCTCCTGCACCTGAAAGGCCTGATAGTTTCTGAAGAAGATGAGCTGCTTGTTGCAAAATCACACTCGCATCTTTGTTAAGGGTATAAAGACTGAACAACCCCCTTTAATTCCAAATACATTTATTTTCAGGACGCTCATGTGAACTGAAATGTCTCCGAGGCATCTGGGCAAGAAGGCTGTGAGTTCGTTAACAAACTCAGACCGTCTTCTGCACCATTTTCTTGACATTTATTCCTAAGAAGCTGAGAAGAAAGAAAACTTCCCCATTAGAGGAGGGAGAGCCTGCCGCAAGGAGGGACAAGCTAAACCCAACTCTGCACATCTGCAGCAGCATCAGTTGAAGAGGAGGCAACTTCTACGCTTAAGGACATAAGAGAGAAATAACAACAAACAAAAGGGTAATAGGGTTGGGAGGCCTGCTTTCATTTACATCTTCTTTCCTTTCTCCCCCTCCTCCTCCAGCTTTTCCTCCTACAGCCTTTCGTGAAGTTACAGCTACTTCGTACACTGGCCGAGTGCCAATCTGTGCAAGTTACACTAATTTACGGCTTCCATTCAATATGCGCATCTTGTCATTAATTACTCCGTTGCCGGTCTTAGCCAAACGAATTCAACAGGCGATGAACCTCCTCACCCCAGGACTGACTTACACCCCAAAGCCAGCGGGCTAATGAGGCTCTGGAGGAGAGGGAAGACTGCAGGCAACTACTTACATTGTCAGCTGAAGCTGAGCGCCGAGAAAAATAAGAGAGGAAAATAAATAAATAAAAAAGAGCACCCAAAATCTGTATGACTGAAAGAGGCACGTTTAAATGCAAACTCTCCATATGTGCAAGAGTCTGTCAAGAAATGTACAGTTTCACTTTTAATTACTTTCAGGGGAAAAAATAACTAAGAAGGAAAACAAAATAAAAAAAGCTTCTAAAAGTACCAGCTACAAAATTTCATTGCCTATCAGGTGTGAACCGGCCCCTCGTGGCCCCAAAGCCAGGGCTAAAGCCACCGCTCGGTCATCTGTCGGCTCTGAGCAGCCTCGCGGCCGCACTTGCATTACAAGTTGTCCTCTTGCAAGCCCCACGTCCTGCCTCGTTCGGCAGCAAGAGTCATCTGCGAGCCCATGCTGACACCAGGGTCTCCTCGATGCGCTTCAAAACCTCAACAAGACCCCCACCCTCCCCCTTTTTAAATAGTTGGGGGAAAAAAGGGTGCTTAAAGCTGTGGGTGGCAGCTGGGAACAGCAGCACGGCTTCGGCTCCACCTTCGCTGCCCGTGTCTTAGGCTGAATTTCCTAAACGCAGATAAATCTTCCTCCTTGGAGCCTTTCATCCTCGGCTACAAACGCAAACACGGGGTAAAGCAGCCACCCTGCACATCTCGCCCCTGCAGCGGAGGGGGATAGCGCCAGCGGCTGGATTTGCTCTCTCCTGGGATGAAATCGAGGTGGGCAAACACAGATTCTCCCTACACTTACATATCCTCCATCCTGTCCTCACTCTGCCACTGCATCCGATTCTGCGGTGGAACCATAAGCCTGAGCACAGAAAGGACGGAGGCTAAAAAGAAAAGCGAACGATTGCAACTTGGGGAAAGAATAAACAGCCACAGGATTTGGTTGTGTCAGGGGAGTAGCTGCTTCGGCCAGAAGAGAAACAATTCTTTTCAGCAAGACCTTAATCATTTTCACCATGAACTAAACCATACCGAATTATTTTCTATTAGCTATGGGGGGCGGGGGGGAAACCCCACAGGTATACAGGCAGCATCGTGTATTAACTGATAGGCAGTAAAGCTGTTAACAGATAATGGGATCAGGTCTCCACCGGAATCTGTGCAGGGTGTTTAACTGACCCCCCGAACACCGGGACAATCGGCACGGGCGCAGGGGCACGCCGGCAGCGCTCTGCGGGCGAGCGCAGCC